TCTACCATAAAAATTTTTTTGGAGGCAGGTCTCTCTTTGTAGCCTTGACTAGCCTGGAATTCACTATGTAGACCAGGCTGGCCTTGAGCTCGAAGAAATCTGCCTGTTCCTGTCTCCCAATTGCTGGAATTACAGGTAGTGTCACTCCACACAACTGCTTTAAAAATGGAGTTGTTATTGATAATAATTAAAGTCAACAGCCTACTTAAAACATGAATTTTGTCTGTTTTATGTTATGGGGGTGGGGAGGATGGACTTTCGCATGTATAGTCCTTTTCCTCCTTCCCTGTGTTGCTCAGAAGAAAGGACCCTTAACATATTGACAGTCCCCCAAAACAGTACTCACAGGGCTCAAACCTACAGATCTGTCCCGTCTCCTATATATAGTTCCCAAGGTGTCATCCTTCCCGCAGGAATGCCTGGTAATTCAGACTTCAAAGTCACAAGTCTACTTACACAAAAATCAAACAGCAAAACCTTCCAGTCAACCAAATGTGGAAAGCATCAAAATTTAAAACAATTGAAAATTATACCATGCTGGGAGTGATTATTTGAATTAAAGTAGAAGAAAGTAGGTTTTTGCAAAATTTCCCCTGCAAAAGCAGTTCCATGCTAGAAAATAGAGGGAGTCTGGACATACATCCACCATGTCAGCCTGCAGAGTCCCTGTTCTTACAAAGTCACTAACTCCGAGATAGAGAGATAAGCAATAGGCCTACGGACACACAACTAAAACAGATTAGATATACAAGCTTGGAACTCACAAGATATCTGGCTAAGAAGCATCTTGGGAGCCAGGAGGAGAGACACAAGCCTATAACCTAACACTTAGGAGGCCTAAGCAGAAAGATAAGAAGTTCAAGGTCATCCTGTCCTACAAGGCAAACTAGGGGTCAAACAAGAAGAGTGGTATATGCTGGGCCTTGGCGGCGCACGCCTTTAATCTCAGCACTCGGGAGGCAGAGGCAGGAGGATCTTTGTGAATTCGAGGCCAGCCTGGTCTCCAGAGCGAGTGCCAGAATAGGCTCTAAAGCTACACAAAGAAACCCTATCTCCAAAAACCAAAAAAAAAAAAAAAAAAAAAAAAAAAAAAAAAAAAAAGAGTGGTATATACACCTTTACTCCCAGCACTGCCAGCACTGGGAGGCAGAGGAAAGAGGTGAGTTTTAGGCCAGCCTGACCTGCATGAGTTCCAGATTAGGCAGGGCTACCAAGGAACCCTTGTCTCAAACACAAAACAAAGAAGAGAAGGCGGAAGAGCCATGTCACTCTGGGACATGGCCAAATTGGTTTCATCCCAACCATACAAGGTTGGCTCAACATAGGCAAATAACTGTAATATAATATATACAAACAGACTTGAGGACAGAAAGTTTTTAAGCATCTCCATGGATGTAGAAAAGACCTTTGACAAGTTAACTTCCTTCATGTAGCCTTGGAATAGGCATAACTAACATTATAATAAATGGCACAAAGCTGACATTTCTTTAAAATCAAAAATGAGACAAGGGTGCCACTCTCTCCTTGCCTGCTGAAAATAGTGCTTGAAGAAAGAAAATGAAGAAAGGAAGAAAGAAAATGGATACAAATAGGAAAAGGTGGGGTCAAAGTACTATTATTTGTAGATGGCATGATCCTGTATTTAACAGACCCTAAAGAATTAACCAGAAAGGTTTTTCTTCTTCTTCTTCTCAAGACAAGGTTTCTCTGTGTAGCCCTGGATGTCCTGGAACTCACTCTGTTGACCAGGCTGGTCAGAGATCCACCTGTCTCTGCCTCCCGAGTGCTGGGATTAAAGGTGTGGGCCACCATCGACAGGCCAGAAAAGTCCTAATACACACTTTCATCAAAGTAGCAGGATATAAAATCAACATCCAAAAATCAGTGGCCTTTATATATACCAATAATAAGTTTGCCAAGTTAGTTTTTTTTTAAAAACCTTATAATTAATACCCTAGGAGGTGCTAGTTTCACCAAGAGGGTGAATGACTTCTATAATGAAAACTTTAAAACATTTGAAAAAAAATGGAAAATGACTGGGCAGTGGTGGTGCACACCTTTAATCCCAGCTGCCAGCCCTTGGAAGTGAGAGACAGGCGGATCTCTGGGAGTTTGAGGCCAGCCTGGTCTACAGAGTGAGTTCCAGGACAAATACAACTTCTTTGTATTTGTATTTTTACATTTTTTAAACTATGAGTATGGGTGTGGGTATAGATATGTGCCCATGAGGGCAGGTGGGCCAGAGACATTGGATTCCTCTGGATCTGGAGTTCCAAGCAGACAAGAGCACTTGCTGCTCTTGCAGAAAACTGGGGCTTAGTTTCCAGCAACCACACAGCAGCTCCTCACTTCACAAATCCAATTCTATGGGTTCTGACAACTTCTTCTGGCCTGCAAAGGTACCAAAATATGCACACAATATACACAAAAACATGCAGGCAAACACTAAAACCATACAGAAAATAAGAGATTTGTTTCTGATATATTTATATATATTTAGCTCTATTACTGACACCACAGTTTATATATACTTAAGATTAACCTTTAAAAGTGCTAATTCTATTCTCTGTGAGTAATGCAAGTGTCTGTATTTTGCAATTGATTTCACACATACTTAAACAACCTTCCATTAAGGGGGAACATAAGTTCACCTGCCAGCTACACTCTCCTGACAAGTACCAGAGTTCTAATTTTAAGTTAAGGGACAGAAAGAGGGCATGTCCTTTTTAATTCATAATATGAGCCACAGGAAGTATTGTGACTTAAAATAAAATGTTCTGAGTAAACGATTTAATTCTGGGATCATGCTGCGGTGAGGGTGACACGGGACAATGGATGAACGCAGAGTTGGCTCAGTGGTTAAGATCAGTGGCTGCTCTTCCAGAGGGCCAGGGTTCAATTCCCAGCACCCACATTGCAGCTCATAACTATAACTCCAGTTCCAGAGGATCTGACACCCTCTTGGGTCTCCATGGGTACTAGGCCCAAAAGTGGTACATGTACACACATTCAGGTAACACATCCATATACATAAAATAAAACTGAAACTGAAATTTATTAAAAAAAAAAAAAAAAAGAATGTTGGCTCAGGGGTAAAGCATTTGCCTAGCATGAAGGAGACTCAGGGTTCAACCCCTAGTACCGTAAACAAACAAATGAAAGCCACTACCCTTGCCTAACTAGAAATCTGCAAAGTAAGGAGTTTTATTTGGCTGCTGGTAAATGTTTCAGAATATTTGGATTACAGTTTTGTTAGTATAAGTGGGCTTTCAGTGTGTGCATACATACACAGATGGATTCACATGAGTCTTCATTACCAGATTTTTAGCATTCAGGTTCTTTTTAATTATTCCACTTCTTGCTTTTACATTTTTAAAATTTTGTAGTTATTTATTTATTCTGTACATGACATGTTCATGTCATGATGCATACGTGACAAGGTACAGGAGTTAGTTCTCTGTCCAGTATGTGGGTTCTGGGAAGAGATCTCAGGCCATCAGGCTTGGGGGCCAAGCACCTTTAAGTCAACATAGCTTGTACAATTTTTAAACTAGGAAGAATTCATTAAAAAACACAGCCAAGCACAACTGATTTCACATTGAATGTATCAGGAATATACCAATAACCTAAATGTCTACCAGGTAGGAGCTAGCTAAATGAACTGAATATGACATATTATTGTGCTATACTACTAAGCCACTTCCTCCAATCGATATTTACTCATACCTTGAATGTGCTTCTTAGAGCTATGTAGTGTTTTCAGTCCTTTCTCTCTCTCTCTCTCTCTCTCTCTCTCTCTCTCTCTCTCTCTCTCTCTCTCTCTCTGTGTGTGTGTGTGTGTGTGTGTGTGCGCGCGCGCGCGCGTGTCTTCCTCTTTTGGATGGAATTGCTTAGTAGTTTTTAAAGTAAAGTCGGGGAGCAGAAAATACTCTCCTTTCTAAAAGCCACACTGAAACACTGTAAGTGTAGGGCATATATATGTGAAGAAGCCACCTGCAGATCACATACTAAGGTCCAGCTACTAAAACCAGAACAACTGAGGCTCAAACCCTGGCTCTCTGTTGTCTACAAGCTATGACTCAGAAAGTTTCCTCATCTATCCAGTGGGGAATCCTGCTGCTGTCTGGGATTGTGGGTTTAAAGGAAGCATTATCCAAGCACCCTGCCTGCTGGCAGGGCCATCTTCGTAGTCTTCAAGTACCAATTCACAAGAAGGCAGTAAATGCCTTTCTTGCCTTGCTTAGTCTTAATGAAGACAAGAGTTCAAGATTTTTCAAAGAACCCAAGAAAATAAAGAGAATGTCAGAATTCTGCTGGAGGCCTAGAGTACCAGTGTCACAAATGATGTGGCAAAAACATCAAGAAAAGGAAGCAAAGGATGTAGCAGATAGAGAAGAAAACACTCCAGTACACGAACAGACACAAGGCAAGCACAGCTGTTTCTGAGTCCCAAAGCCATTGGGTAGACTCTGTCAGGACCCAAAGAAATCCCCTGGACAGGTCTCATTCAGTACAGAGGTCCTCCCAGCGCTTCTCACCCTACCCCTTACAGCCAAGGGTCTAGCCCTCATTTCACTTCCCCCAGCTTCTCTTCTTCTCTTTCCTATATAACCTTAGCCTTTTTTGGCCATGAGCTCTCTGTCTCTGTCTCTCTGTCTCTGTCTCTGTCTCTGTCTCTATCTGTCTCTCTCTCTCTCTCTCTCTCTCTCTCTCTCTCTCTCTCTCCCTGGCTGTTAGCCGACTCACTCTTGGCCTCTTGATCCTCGGCAATTCTCCGCTTGCCCTCTCTGCACTTGTCTCTCTCTTCTCTTACTCTCTGGCTCTCCTCCCTCTCTTTTCTCTCCTTGCCCTGTTCATTCTGGACAATTCCAGATGCCTCTGGCTGAGCTCCCTCTCATACCTGCAATAAAATCCTTTTCCTCAACCATACCTAGGAGCAGTCCTGTCCTGATTTTCACTCAGACTCCTCCTTCAACTAGGAGTCAAAGGTTGGGGCTTACCAAGATTCGGCTGGGACACTGCCAAGGACCTTTGTGGCACCGAAGTGGAAGTGATGGCAGGGTGGAGGTTCACATGATTCAGGGGCTGATTCATCGCCTTCCTAGGGTCTTGCCATGTGGTGATTTTTTCTATGTGACTAAAGGAAGGAAGACAATTAATTACTTGTTTAACCATCAGTATTGTCATCAACATCACCATACCCACACATCAGGGACACTGGTTCTTCCCCTTGGGTCAGCTTACAAGTGGTTGACAAATTGCTTTTGGTTTTACCCAAGGACTCTCTAGCCCATTTGGCCCTACATTCGGGTTGAGGCATAGCAAGGACTGCATACAGCCTAACTCAAGGAGCCTACACACATTAGCACCTTAGCTTCCTCACTCCCTTCAATCCTCACTCACAGATGCTACTGGAGGGCAGCCCTCCAAAAGCTGGTCCCATACTAAGCCCCCAAACCACATCACAGATCATACATACTACTTTACAGAACCTGCCCCACTCCATCAAGCTCAACCTTTAGTGAGCAGCCTCTTGTGTGTGTGTGTGTGTGTGTGTGTGTGTGTGTGTGTGTGTGTGTGTGTGTTGGGGGGGGATTAAGTGGATGGGTGCATTCTAAATAGTCACAAATTCATGCAGTACCCCTGCTTTTATTTATAAATGGTATCAGAGATCTTTCTATATCCATTAAAGACAATAAACTATAGCATTCTAAACTGAGTATTATCCTTTTGTTCTGGTCTTAACCTGGTCTTAACCAGGTTTGCCTCTTCCTGTCAAAACCTACTTAGACACTTCCTGAGATACAAAAGGAATGCAACTGTTCTTTTAGTTAAACACACTTGAATTTTGAATAACAAACGTGTTCTTATCTTTAGGGTTAAGAAACTACAATAGCCATCTCTCTGGATTTATGCTAGAACTAGAAATTTCCTTCCTGTAAAGTTGCATTTCCTCTGGTTTTTCTTTCTTTCTCTTTCTCTCTTTCTTCCTTCCTCTTTTCTTAGTTTCTTTTTTTTTTTTTTTTTCTTTCCTCCCAGTTAAATGCTTCTTCCAAGACTGGGATGTGTTAACATGGGGAACTCTTCCATTGCCTAGAGTGAAGACATGGTGTTCTTCTAAGAGCTTCAAATTGAGTATGATTTTTTAAAAATAAAGGCCAAGTGCTTAGCATGGGGAGGGTTGGTGCTACGGTTAATTTTGATTCATGAATATCAAATGCAGAAGATGTCATCTCAGTCTTAAAAAAAAAAAAAAGACACAGCAGCGAATTGAATAAAATCCTTTACTCAGCCTTTGGGCATGAGGAAACTCAGAGAGCCCCAGGAAGTCTTCAGAGTAAGGAACTAACTGACAGAAATGAACTAAATGTCAAAATTTAGTGAATTCCCTTTAGCAGAGTAATTAGAATTAAAAAAGCAAAACACTATGATTGTTCTTACAGGGCCAATCCCATTGTTTCCAGGCTAGGAAGATGGCTTAGTGGGTGAAAGCACTCAGCACTCGCACATGAGGACCTCAAAGCTCCAGAACCCATGCAAGACCTGGCATGGTACTCTATGTCACTTATCACAGTCCCCGGGAGGCAAGACAGGAGACAGAGACTGGAGAATGCCTGGAATCTGGCTAAATTGGCCCTCACAGCAGCAAACAACAATGAGAGCCAAGTCTACAGAAAAATAAAACAGTCTAAAACTCAAAACACCTGAGGTAGTTCTCTGACCATCACATGCTGTCATGAACACCTCCCCTCTCCTCTCCCCTTTGGTACCATAAATCTAAGATACCAGCATCATAAATACTGATACTATCTGAGACCCAGCATCAGAACCCAGTCTACCCCTGATAGGGAGACATACCAATATACTTGATTTGCTGATAGAGATAGGTCACTGCTGTCATCAGCCATATAGGGGCAAAGTTAAAGGATTATCATAGCAACTGGAATGCTACATTCCCAGATGCCAAGCCCCAATCTCCCCACTTCTAAATAAGCAGGTGATGGTTTATGAATGTGGTGGGACATGGTGGATCCTGCGTACAATGCTGACATATGAAGTGGTGGCTACGCCCTGTATACAAAAAGGCTGTCAACAACGCTTTCCAGCCTCCATCCCTTTGAGCACTCTGCCTCATCCTGATAGGTCTGAGTTCAAAGACTAAAACAGGGCTTACCCTAAAGCATGAGGTCCTGGAATTCCCACCATGTCCTGGTAGCCACCAGGACCCACCTTTTACAAGTCTACAATCAGCCATTACTCTTTGAAGAGTCTTGTTTCCAGATCTAACTGTGTCATTCACTGCCTTCCAAGACTACAATAAAAGAGGAGCTTACTTGGGTGAGAAACATGAAAGCTGAGCTGGTATCGGGGAGACAGCTGTGCAGGGGTTATGAATTTGAGTGGTTTTCTTCTCAAATTCTCACACAATGAAAACTACTCATTTACAAAAACTCCTGAGGTAGCTATGAGTGGAGACAACATATTTGGAACTACATCTTGTCCCAATGTCAAAAGATTGTACACCCTTCTATCCTAAATGCAATAACTCAGGAGAGACTGAATTGGTGACAAGGTCAGCATTCCAGATTTGACTTGACTAATTTATTCCCTTGTTTAGGTGACTTGGAGCCTTCAGTGTTGGCTCCCCTCACCCACTTCCCAAACCCAAAGGATGCCACTCACTTTCTCATCCCCTTTCTCATCTCAGGTCCCTCTATTAATACAACTGAGTCACTTCCTTTCTCCTGTTTCTCAATGTGACCGTGCTGTTTGCCAGGACTGAGAGTTAGCTAGATTAATTCCACTTCCCTGCTACCCCCACACCTCCTTCCTGGCTTTATTCCCTAGCCAGGATTTACTTTAAGAAAAGGCCTTCTATTTTAAAATGTGGAAATTAACATCAACACATCTATATACTCATATATTCAATTTTCCTTTGTTTAAAATATTCTATAAATACGTGCCATTTTATTCTCAAACATAAAAGTGGAACAAAAAAGGGGGGCAACTAACCATGTTAGGTGACATAGTAAATAATGGGTTCACAGGAGGGGGGGGTTAGTTGTTTTTTTGTTTTCCTGTGTTTTTCCTATCTAACTGCTTTTTGCTTTATAGGTTTTTAACAGTGAGTATGGATTGTTTTTATAAGCAACCAAGACTGAAATACTCATGAAGGTACAATAAAGGAACAAAGGAAAATTAATGCACAAATATGTACATGACCTAGCACTGGTTACTGAAGATAAGATGCAGGACATTCAAAGGCCGGTCACCCTCAACATCAGTTGTTGTCACTTTTAATGACATTCCCCTCTAACCTCTTCCTTCACACTCTCTCAGTCTGGGGAAGAGGCAGATTTCTTTCCCAATAGAATAAACTCTTTTGGGCACATAAAGAATATAAAGATATATAAAAAAAATACAGAACAATTACAAACACTACATTTTGAAAGAATTAAAAATCTTCATAGCATGGGCAAAGAATTTTGTCTCCAAATATAAACTTGGAGAAGGGTGTGGTGGTGCACGCCTTTAATTCCAACATTCCAGGAAGAATCAGGCTGATCTCTCTAAATTCAAGACCAACCAAGGATACATAGAGAGAACTTGTCTCAAACAAAACAAAGCAAAAGCTAAACAAATAACAAAACAAATAAAAAAAAACAGTTAAGTTCCCCATGCAGTTTACAAAGAATAACTTCCAAAGAGGAAGGAAAACTTTTCTTGACAACCAAAAACTTTTCCATAGACTTAACACGAAATCCCTACAAAGGTTCCTCATGAAGGGCACTGAGTAGCACTCGGTGGGAAAGGTGCTCACAATAAATGTGAAAGGGTGTCGTTCCTCCTTCCTTTGAAGCCCAGGCCAATAGCAGGCATCAAGCCCCAGCGGGAGTGTGCTCCATGATGAGCAGCAGCTTCAGGGACCTGGGGTTTGCCAACCAGACAGTAAAGGGCAGCCAGCTTTCCCGAGTCTGAGACGATTGTTGACTGGAAAGGATGGCTTCTGGAAAATTGATATGTCAAATAATCTTTCCCCATAGATTAATACTTGCTGCCATAAAGACAAACACCATTTTAATTACTAGATAAACTCTGTGGGGTAAAGATTAACTGTAATAGGGAGAGGAACACTCTCACCCTCAAATCAACACTCACTTCCAAGCCTAGCCCCACCTGTCAACCTGGGGGACTGTCACTACCCTAGTTTTCTCCTCTTAAGCACTGCTTTGTCCTTTAGCACTTTTCCTCCAAATGAAGCAAGGCCAGGGGCTCCCTCCTCAATCTTGATGGCTTACCTTTCCCTTTCTTCCTTTCACAACTCGTTCTCTGTCTCTCTTAGACTCATATCCTAAGACTCATATGGAATCCAAGTCATCCTTGGGAATAAGTCTCCAAAGCCCCTCTCATACAGGCCTCTCCAGAGCCACTGCTGCCACTGTAACCAATTACCAGACTCTTCTGGTACAAGCCAAAAAGTTTAGTCTTGAAGTCACAACATACATGGGACCTGAACTTTAATACTAGAACCGACCCTGTGTCACCCAATTGGATAAGTCATTTAACCCACCCAAGACTTGGTATCCATAGCCAAAAAGAAATGCAAAACAAACCAGCAAAGCCCCTACAACAAATATGCAAGTACAAGCAACTCCGGTCTACCCTAAGCATTCTAGACTATCAAAGTCACTTAACAGCTTTCATGACGCCATGACCAGGGTCCCAAAGTTCACTTACTTAATGAGCACAGGACAGGCAGGCAGCTCCTGCCTCAAGCTCAAGGCCGACAAAATTCACTCAACCAACCAGAGACTATACACCTATTATGCACACTGCATGATGCACTGGGCAGGTATAAAATGAAAGCATTTTATAAATATAAACCTTGACTAGTAGCAGAATCATGATGCAGAGATAAAACCTTATCCGTAAAAAGAGACTCTACCAGCTTCTCACTGCCCAGCAAATGGTCTGGTGTTTTTGGAAGAATTGACCTTTATGGAAGGAAGTCACACAACAAAGACTTTTTGAAGTAGAGAAAAAGCCTGTGTAATACATTTTGTTTTGCTGGACGAATATAAAAATAGAGAAATGGGAATGATTATAAGTGCTTTTGTCTTTTTTACCACCCTATTC